ACCAAAAGACAGTTTCCACCACTTTTCTGCAGTTTGAGGGCTGATCAGATTAGTTAAACAGAAGCCTTTGCTAATTCCTGCTCATCTTTCTGGTTTCTACACCTTTTCCACAGAATTTCCTTTCACCTCAGCCCCCCACCCACATACACCCTGGGATACTTCCAGTTAGGGTTGCAGAAACTGTGTAATCTGATTATTCCATGACTGGTTCCAGACCTTACTGGGCATAAAGCATGAACAAAGCCACCCATCTGTGCTTATTATTCACTGAGGGCTCACTTTCTTGGCATATTTCCCAAAATTACACCAAATGCAGCTAATTCCCATCATAGACAAGATTCTCACCTTCAGAACAATCAAGTTACCCAGTAAAGCCTTCTCTCGCTTCTTCCACTGTTTTTGGAATTGAAAGCAACCCAGCTGTCTCTGAGGATAAAAATGAAAACAAACATAAAAATAAACCACTCTTACATCGCAAAGAGTGGGAGAAATTGGCCATTTTTTTATATAAGTTTCAAACAGATGGTGAGCTAATTTGTATTTTCATTTTGACATTTACCTACTCAGTGGGAGTGCAATTAAGCCATATTTTAAGCCTATTCAAAGTGGCCTTCTTCTGAAAATGTTGTAGAGATATCTGTATATGATGCTTGCCACCAATTGGTGGAGCTTAAGGATCCAGGAATGCTCGTCTTTCCTCCCCTAGACCACCCTAACTGAGTGCAGGTTACCTCCTTCAAGAAAATTTCAGGCACCTACTGTCCTCTCTGCCTTCCATCCTGCCTAATTCTAGGCCAATTTCCACAGAACTGGCAAAGAGATCTTCCTTTCATGCAGATTTGACCAGGCCAGCTCCCTGCTTGAAATAAACTTTTTAGTGACTTCTCATGAACCTCAGAATTAAGCCATAACTCTGGTATTAACATGTTGCCAAATTCCCTCTTGATCTGACCCTGATCACTCCACCCTACCTCAATCCTGGTCTCCCCTCCTCTTGTGCACCTGCCCCTGAGTCATATCAAGCCATATTTTGTCCCAAGGTGTGCCTCTGCCTCTCTCGCTGCCAGACATTTGCACTTACTGCCCACTCTACCTGGAAAACCCTGTTGCCCCTTCTTCACCTGGCTCATGCCTTCCTTTTCATTTTGCCTTTCAGGTTAGTTGCAATCCAATGATACTATTTTTACCATGCTAAAACATGGGCAAAGATAATTTTATCTAAAGTGTAGAATGCTATGTGAGATTTCAATCTTACTGAACATATTCCATCTTGCGCATTTTTCCATGTTGCTGAATGAAAACACATATTAGAATCCTGCAACAACTCAATCTTCCTCTTGCCTAAATTGCTGAAAGCAATCTAACCACAAGTAGATGATTCTTTTCATGTATGATGGAATTTTCCACTAATGTGTCTACTGACTCTAGCCACATCCACATGTCCTCTAGTCATGCCCTGTCACACTCCACCCCTAAAATAGCAGTCCCCTGAACTTCCAGTGTTGTATTTCCATTTTTTTCACCCAATGATTAAATAAATTATAGCATCTGAACTCCCTGTTGGACAAAACCGAGTCATAATCTCAATTTTAGGGGAAGGAGGAGGTACTTGTTGGCAAAGGTTATGAAGATATTATGAGATTCACCTAAGATTTGTAGTATTTGGGCACAGAAAAAATGGAAGTCCCAATTTTGAACCCTGTTTTTAGTTCAGAGGTTCTGCTCATTTGGGAAATAATAGAACAAGGAGAGTTAATCCTTTGTCCTGAAAGGATTTGCCTTGAAGAAGGATGAGTTCCAGAGCAGTGGGACCCAGACTGAGACAGTCAGCAGCCCGCACCCCCACACCCAGCTGACTGGCTGTCCACTCACTTTGGATTATATCCAGTTAGAGTTGCAGAAACTGTGCAATCTGATCATTCCATGACATTTTAGACTTCACTGAGTATAAAGCAGGGGTACACAGTTCAACCTGGAGTCTGCCGGCGCTTAGCTCCCATTGCACTTGCTATAAGGACGTCTTTTGGTTCACTCTCTTTTTTCATGTTCTCCTGTAGTGGAGTATCACTTTCCTGAAATAGCTTTTATGTGACTTGCTTTCTGGATGTTTTCTGTAGAACACCACTCCTTTCCTTTGAGACTTTAATTTTAGTAAAATTGATTGAATTTTATTTTTCTTTTAATGAGAGCTCTTGTCGCCACATCCTCCATATCCTTCCAGACTGTTATGCCTGTTATATTCATGTCACCAGTCTGCTGGCCTCAGTGTTCATGGCTGCCCATTTTTTTCTTTTACATATTCAAATAAAATTAACTTCCTCATAGCTTTCTTAATCAAGGGTATTTTTATACTAATTTATTGAAAACCACTTAAATCTAATCACTTCAATACAGTTTTTCCAATTTACTAGTAGGCAATAAACATAATGCATAAAGGGTTTTTTTTTCTTTTAAAAGACAGTTTAGATTAATATAGTTTAAGAAACCCAGGCAAAACCAGATGAAAATGTCTTACTGATTTTTATTACATTAATGTCCTAGGAACAAAATGGCCCCATGTGTGCTTGATGTAATGAATTAGACAACTAATTTAAGTGTAGGCAGCATGGAGCAGGGCTCTGGGGGTGGGCAGGGTTCCACCACTTCAGGGCTGGGTTGCTCTCAGCAAGTTACAGAGCCAGTCTGAGCTTCACTGTCTTTCTTTGCCAAATATAATTGTTGGTAGCAATAAATGAGATGCCACCTAATGTAGCACCTTATCAAGCTTCCTCTCTAGTCCTTCCTTCCCTACCATTTCAACAAGTGTTTCAGGTAGAGTTAATGAGAACCAGGTGATAAAGCCACAAACACCATCCTTGTTTTCCAATTTCTCCAAAAAATAAAAATAACTGAAAGTGACTGATTAATTCATGATTTTTTAAAAGTATATGGATCATGTATGTATGTAAATTATGAGGCTTAGTTTGACCCAAATATGCAGCTAATTTTATAGAAAATTACTGTGCAACTGGTTAATCTGGAGTTGTTCCATATTCCTCAATTTTGATTACCAAATTTGGAATTGAATAAAGTTCTGGTCCATAATCACAAGAAACTCAAATACAGGAAGATGCTACTTTCCCTGATGCTTTGTTATTTAGTTCCACTGACAGCAGATTAGTCAGTCACCCCTTAACAAGGATTTTTTCCACTAAATGTTATACTTAGGAATGCCTTTGCTGTTTTTACAAACAAGCTAACCTGATGGAAATTCATTTCGAGTTGATAAATCCCATGGCATAATCATTTTAGTTGTTTTGCTTTGCTTATTTTTCAACCTTTTTTTTTTTAGATAGTCTCACTCTGTCACCCCAGCTAGAGTGCAGTGGCATCATCATGGCTCACTGCAACTTCTAACTCCTGGGCTCAAGTGATCCTCCTGCCTCAACCTCCCTAGTAGCTGGAACTATAGGCATGTACTTCAGCTAATCTTTTCTATTTTTAGTAGAGATGGGCATCTCACTCTTGCTCAAGCTGGTCTTGAACCCCTGAGCTCAAGTAAGCCTCCTGCCTTGGCCTCCCAGAGTGTTAGGATTACAGGCATGAGCCACTGCGCTCAGCCTCAAGCTCTTTTTGACATTCTGCAAATATGAATGTCAGAACATTGTGGAGATCCAAGACCTAATTCTTACCGTGGGCCTTGAAGTAATTTTGATGAACTCCATAGTTGAAAGATGGATAACTCCTTAACTATATATGTAGAATGTCAGAATTTTAAAGGGCTTTAATGGTCTCTGGTCCAGTCATACATTTGAAGCTTGAATTTGCTCCAGTACATCCCTGTCAAATGAGATTCAACTCTTCAGTGTCCTCCAGACAGCTCTATTAAAAACTTCTTCTTTATCTTAAACCCCATAGCTTCTACCCTTGGGTTCAGATGCTATTAGGAACAAAAAAAATCAGTTCTGCTCAAACTTATGAGGATGTAAACTTCTTAGTGGTAGGGACTGTATCCACTATAGCTACCAGTAACTTGCTAAATGATTGCTAAATGGAGTTAAAAGCAGATGTTCTTTGTTTTGGGATATTATCTTATAGAATGGCAAATGATCAGTATGTTTAAGTTCCACTGAGAAAGCATCATATAAGTAACTGATATTATTATTTATGCTATAGCTGATATATTTTGTTATTCTTTCAATCTTATAATTCAAGCCATTTTACCTGTTTATCTTATATATCATAGTACTTTTATTATAAAATAGCATATTTTGTGACCCTATGGATAGATACTATTAGGCATCACATGTCTGAGACATGAGGCAGAGAAGTTGAAACCCTACTGTAGTAGGCATTAGAGGTCCTGGGTTCTAGCCCCAGCCCCACCACTACCATCTAAGTGACCCTGGACAGGTCATTCAAGCTCTCTAGTTCTTGATTCCTCTTCCACAAATTGCAAGGGTTGAACCAAATGCTTTGTTTAAGTTCTTTCCACCGTCACAAATTTTTTGTGTTTTTGACTTGTTGATCCCATGTGGTAGAGTACCATAGAGACCATCAAAGAATATAGACCTCTGATTTCCAGTTCAGTTCTCATCTTACATCATCAATAACTATCCACAAGGCTGGGCACCGTGGCTCATGCCTGTAATCCTAGCACTCTGGGAGCTGAGGTAGGCAGATCGCTCAAGGTCAGGAGTTCGAGACCAGCCTGAGCAAGAGCGAGAACCAGGTCTCTACTAAAAATAGAAAGAAATTAATTGGACAACTAAAAATGTATAGAAAAAATTAGCTGGGCATGGTAGCGCATGCCTGTAGTCCCAGCTACTTGGGAGGCTGAGGCAGAAGGATCGCTTGAGCCCAGGAGTTTGAGGTTGCTGTGAGCTAGGCTGACGCCACGGCACTCTAGCCCAGGCAGCAGAGTGAGACTCTGTCTCAAAAAAAATAAAAAATAAAAAAATAACTATCCACTTATGTACACTATTTAAAACTGCCGTGCTTTTTTCCCTTTCTCTTTTCAGAACACTATTCTTCAGGAAACGGTGCGTAGAGAGTGTGAAGAACGCTTTGAGCTGACAGAGGCTTTGAGTCAAGCCAGGGAACAGCTCCTGGAGCTCAGGAAGCTCAGTGGAAGTTTACCACTGTCACCATGTTCCCTCGGCAAGGGCAGCCTAACCTCCCCTGCTACACCAGTCAGTAATCATGGAGAGAGAAGTCTCACAAGACTGAACTCCGAAAAAGGGATCAGAATCCCCGGCCTGCATGGAGTGTCGAAACCCACCACTGCCCCAACCTCAGATAAGCCCAAGAGGGTCAGCAGCTCAGGTTTGCCGGTTCTCCCCCAGCCACGTCCTCCCAGGGGTGGACCATCTTCAGCAAATGAGACCAGGCAGAGACTAGCTGCCCTTCTTCAGAGGAAGCTAAGTCAGCAGTGATTGTCCACAGTCAGGAGTGTGCTCTTTCACAGAGTGCCAGAAACTCACTGTAGCTGAGGATGACAGGATCAAATTATTTTCATAGGTCAAAAATGCTTGTCTGTAGATATACTCTTAAGAAATGTAACAAGCTAGAAAGTTGTGAACCCACAATTGTAATGTAATTAAGTTGTTGGTATTTCAGAGGGTCAATTTCTATATTTATGTATTGTATATGTTCAGACGTGTGCTATGAATATGCCCTTTTAGAGATCACCGGTAAAATTTTTCACCCATAGCATCTTTTCTATTTTTTTTTTTTTTTTGGACCATTACAAAGCAGATATATTTCCACAAAGAATAGATTGCATTGGTTTTGCTGGTGTTTGTTCATTTGTTTGTTGAGCGGAATAAGTTAAGTAGATATAATATGCATTCCAAATAGAAAAAAAAAAGTACTTTAATCCTTTATGAGATAATTTCCAAAATTCTTAGTTCAAACATTCACAGTACTCATCATCCTAATCAAAAGCTTCTTTTCTTCACCTTGCAATCTAGTTGGCTAATCCGTTTCTTTAGGCTAGGTCAGAGAATGATACATAACCTTCAGGAAGATAGTCTTCCCTGAGTGTCTGGGGACTTCCTAGAAAAAAGGATGGTAATTCCAATTCAAGAAAAAGGTGTTTATTTCTCAAATTATAAAGATTACTTTAGTAAACAAAGAGCCTGATCATATTGGTAGGTATTTTCTACATAGAATGCTTTTTGGTACTCAGAGTTAGGTTTTAATTTGAACATGTATTTTCAAGCCATTGGGAAGAGAACCAATTCAAGACAGTTTAGCAAAGGCATACAGAGCTAATGTGGATTCAACTGTTATTACCCTTGAAAATGGGTAACTGGTTAACATGTTTTCTATTTTCAGAGTGGGAAAGTAAAACCAGAAACCAGATCAGCTAGTTTAGGCTGTCTTAAAATTTCAGGCTCCTCCTGTTCCTTAAAACACAACTCTTTACCTTAGGCTAGTGTTTGTCTATCTTTTTCGCCATATAATAAAAGTATATTTTCCTTCAAAAACTGACTTTACTTAAATCCTCCATCTGACTACATCACGGACATCCAGCTTTCCTACCTCCATATTGGAATAATAGTAGATGTAAAATAGGGTACATAAAATTCTCTGCTATTTGGCTACTTTATTGATGAATCTAAAGGTACTTAGGATCCCTCCCATGTATAAAATTTTTGCCTAGTCAAATTACTAAGCAAAATCAAGTTTATCTCCCATCTTCCAAAGGATTACCATAATTAACCAGTAGAGTGTTTCAATCTCAAAACAAGTCCACATCAGGTCCACTTGTGTTAAGAGTTGGAATGCTTACTTTTGTTTCACAGACATTGTGTCCCTTGTAATGGCATTGGACAAGACAGCACAACATCAAGGAAGGTGGCACTGGGGTGGATCTTAGAGGCCACCTCAATGATCACTTACCAGATAAAGAATAGGTACCCAAAAAGACTGTGACTTGGCTAAGGTAATATAGCTAGTTAGTGACAGAGCTGGAACCAGAACCACTGTCACCTGACTCCATCATTTCCACCTCACCAGAGATTCCCAAGCCTCCATCATGATTTTTGTCAGTGGCTCCTACACTGTAATTACTTAATATTTTTAGCTAAAGACAATATTAAAGACAGTATTTTTTGTTAAGTGTACCTTTTAAACTGAAATTTATGTAAAAAGGAAATGACATAAGGAATAATAACTATAAAGTAATGAATTTGATTTGTTATTTTTATAATACACTTTAAAATAAATATGTATCTATTAAGATAAGAAATGTTAGTTGGCATACCCTCTAAAATCATCTCGTGCAATGCCAGCAGGGGACCACTGCACTAGGTCTTAAGGTCTCTGATCTGTTGTTTTCATGTTTAAATTACAAGTACTCATGGCGTAAGGAAGATGGCAAAAGCTAGTGAAAGCACAAGAGAACATTTGGGGCAATAGTTTTTATTATAGGGGTATACATACTTTGTACAGCCTTGCAATTTCAGCTCTCTCTTCAGGAACCATAGGGATACAATGGGTTTCTTCATTTGCCCTAAATTATGAACATATTTATATTTGTAAAGAAAGTCACATATAAGCTTTTCTAAAGGGCTGTAAAAACTATGAATGCAAAAACTGGTTTCTCAGTTTGTTACACTTTTGCTTTACAATGAGTAATTCTGTAAATAATAACTCTGAGAATAGAATCATGATCTGCAGTGAAGTTGTGTTGTATTCCACAAATATGTCAGGGAAGTAATTTTGTAGATAAATAGAAAGACATTATTTATATTTATTTCAATGTAGACCATTTGAATGGTGCAGACTAAACTATATGCTTATGACTTTTGAATAAAAACATTTAAAAAAAGAAAAGCCTTAGAGTAAGTAACCTAGATGTTAAGAACACATTCAGACTTTCTTTTATTTTCCTACAGATGAATGAATGAACTGGCATGAAACAGGTATTAGGAATATTTAAAAAGTAGTGTGTATTATGGCAAAATAAGGCTCTCAGGTACATATAATGTCTACTAAGTCTAATGCTTTTAATTTCTTTATAGACAACTGTTTTCTGTGACCTCAATGGAAGGATTTATAGGTGATAAGAGAAAAGAATATTATATAAAATATTCCTTAGATAATTATAACCCTCTGTTTTTCTTCTTAAACTTGTATGGGTGGACAAAGAAGAAAGAATTCTCCTAAGTTAACATAGATTTCTCAAGTGGTTTTTAAAAGTTGTATTGAATTAAATTACTATATTTATAGTTAGTCAGAACTGCTTAAAAGTTATATTTTCTGGCAATGAAATTGACTGGAAGAGACATTAATAGTGAAAATTATGTAAGACTAATATCTTTTAATGTTCTGTTAGTCTTAAAAAGTTTTGTAATATTTCAGATCAATTATAGCTAATTTCTTTGATTATGGAACAAGTTTTCTCAAGCTTTATCTTTTAAAATTCTTATGTCTGTTACAATATTGCAATGATAAATCAATCTAGTATCCTAAGAGTGTTAACATACTGCAGCTATTAATAAAAATTCCTAACCATTGTGCTGTAGCTTATAGAGCAAAGGAAATCAATTTGGAATGTGCCCAGAGTTCACAAATCCTATAATGATTATGGATTATTGAACTTTTTCATTTTAATGTTTTAGGAAAATAATTAATATTCACGGTATCTTGCCCAGAACATCTTTAATGGTCCTCAAACCATGATAGACAATTATGATATCATTTCTAAGGTGGTGCTTATGGTATTTTAAGGAAAAAAGATTACTTTTCTTCTTGAAAATATTAACCCTGTGTAGTAGCAAGTTGTGAAGCCAATGTTAAGTTGCACTTTTAGAATACTAAATATAAATTATATCATCTTTGTATATTGTGAATTTCACAGATAGTATTTTCCTAACAATACAGTAGTTGAATCTGGAATACACTCTCCTATGACAATATTTACCATGATCTAGTAAATCACAGGATTTTCCTCTCCTCCAACATTTATATAACATAGTAGTTTATATCCATTAAGTGAGTAAAAAAATTATTAGATATCCTTTACCCTTCAAGAAAATATGTAAGTGAATACTGAGTTGCAGAGATTAAGTAATTTGCTGAAAATAAATAATAGATAGGACTAATAAATAATTTTAAACTTCTGCAGTTTCTGAGTATCTTGACCCATAGGTTAATATTGAAGCTATATTATTCATTCACTTATTTCTTCAACAGACATGGAGAACTGAAAAAGCACTCTGTGAGCTACAAAGATAACTAAGACATACTACAAAATTCCCAGGAACTGTATAGCAGAGGCTGGGGAAAAGCATATACAGAAATTATAATGTAGGGCAACATGTTAAATAAGAAGAGTGTCAAGAGCAAGGTGTTATATCAGTTCAACTTCTTTCTAGAAGAATCAAAGAATACTTTAAACAAGAATTGGCATTTACAGTGGTTCTTGAAGAATGAGTAGGATTTTATGGAAGAAAGTATGCCAGGCAGAGGAATTGTATGAACAGAGTCACAGACATGTGAATTGTAGAAAACATTTGGTGAAGGGAAGTGGTGGGAACCTGCAAAAGATAGGTTGACTCCATTGCATGAACGTATTAAAAAAAGGCCCAATGCAGGCTTTTGACTAGAAGTGACACAAGCCTTGTTGAAATTTGGAACATTGCTCTGGCGGGGCTGTATTGGAGTAATTATGGAATAGAAAGGCTTGAGATAAAATACCAGTTGGTGGACTAGTATAGTAGTCCAGACAAGAGTTAATGAAATTCTGAATAAAGATGTCAATATAGGGAATAAACAGGAGGAATCTGATTTAAATTCTATTCAGAAAAGGAAAAGGATTTGTTCCCTGTTAAATGCAATTTAAAACCATTACCAGCCATTGCTACCTTAGCAGGGGTAGCATTTTATGAGATTGGCTCCAATTAAAGGATAATCTCCTATTTAAGGATATTATAGCTTCTCAGAAAATGTGAAAAAATAAGAGCTACATTTTCATTTAGATAGCAATTAACCCCACAGTATTCATAAGAAATCTCCTTAAAGAAAAATACAAATCTGAATAGTGTTCTAAGAATTATGGAGGAAGAGTATGAAATTGACATTAAAAAGAAATAACTATCATCTTGGCTCAAAGAATGCAAAGTACAACTAAACAGGGAGCTTTGGGTACAATAAAACTTCTTTCTGATTCTCACTAACCATTTATGAGGGAAAATATAGAAGAGTAAAAGTGTTATCTAAAAAAAAATCTATAAATTTTATAGCTCTGAGGGGGCTTGCTGTATCACCTGGTCCAAATCTGTACTTTTATAGGAGACAATAGGTTCTTTAGACTCTAAATAATTTTCCATTCTCATAGCTGCTTAACAGAAAACCTGATGCAAGAGAGCCTGGGTCTCCAGCTTGTGGCCCACCCACCTCATTTCTAGACAGGAAAAATAGTATCGGTGTTATTGCTTTTTGATACTCAGAGTGGTCCAGCAGGATCGGTATCTCCTGGGAGCTTGTTAGAAAGACAGAATATCAGGCCTCATACCTGAACCTTCTGACTGGGATCTGGTTTTGATGAGATCCTCAGGTGATTCATATACTTGCTGAAGTATGAGAAACACTGTGTATGGTGTTGCCATTGGCCCTGTCATATTCCACATTGAAGAGCGATGCATTAGTGGTGCACTGATACCTGCCCCCATAGCTTGACCCATTTAAGACCTTGGCTCCCAGGGTACTCAAATTCTACTTCTTCACCCATCGATCAGGAATTTGTAACTCTCCAAGAAAACCAGTGAATTAAAGGAAA